AAAAAAAAAAAAAAAAAAAAAAAAAAGACCCATTTACCCACCGCCCATATTCCACCATTAACATCTTACTGTAATCCTTGCTTTATCATGTATCTATCCATCTTCATTCCTCTTTCTATCCATCAATCCCATATTATATTCTGGGTATATTTCAAAGAAAATTACATACATCAGTACACTTCCCCCTAAACACTTCAACATGCGTATCATTAACTGGAGGACAGTTTTTGTTTACAATTTTGTTCCTTTTGGGGTAATATTAGCATATAATGAAATGCACAAATCTTGAGTATGCATTTGCTGAGTTTTGACACAGCCATACACCTGTGTAATCCAACCCCCTATCAAAATATACAATATTTCCTTCACTGTAGGAAATTCCCTCCTGTCTTTTCCCAGTCAATGCCTGCCCTTACTCCCCCAGGGGCAATCACAGTTTCTGGTTGTTTTTACACCATTGTTTCATAAGGCAGTTCCTTTGTCCTTACCTGTCCTTCCATCGTCCCTATTGAATAAGCCCACCATGATTTTTAGAAAATAACAATTTATAAGTTATATAATAACATTTGTGGCCTATTATTTAACAGTATCACTTCTATTTTATTTTAGAGAAATAATCCCAAATATGAAAAATACCATATGCAAAAATATAGATATTTATTGTAGTGGGTTTTTTTTGCAGAAAAAAAAACCCTGAAACCCTAACTAAAAATGGTAACTACTATACAGTGGAATGGTTAGGTATATTCGAGGCTCTGATGAATACAGACAGTGAGAAAGCTTAAGCAGGAAAAGTTTAGGATAGTGTTTGCTACATAGTTATTCCTTTTTGACTAAGGGTGTAACTTTAATGTATCTTCCAAATGTTTGTCCAGAGGCCCTCCCCAATACTGGTATTATGGGATTTAATGTCTTCGGGACAACCCCATGCTAAATCATGAGAGGAACTGGAAGCAAATTTCTTTTGCTTCTCCAGTTCTGGGTGAGTGACCTCTCCCCTCCCCAGCAGAGCGGGGTCAGAATTCTGCCATACCACAAGCCTGCCGAGTAAAAACCTCTGTCGAGTAAAAACCTCTGTCAAGGGCCGGCCCGTGGCTCACTCGGGAGAGTGCGGTGCTGATAACACCAAGGCCACG